TCTTTCCCTCTTGCTGGTACATGTCATGAGCTGACTTTGTGTCAGTTATGTGACAAAGGTATTCCTTTCTCTTGTGCTGTCAGCCAGTGTTTTAGGATGCCACAGAGCTGGAGAATGTCCCCTTTTCTTGGAGCTGCAAAGACACTGTTGCTTTCCATGAACACTTGTATAAGTGTATTGGAAAATGTGGTTTTCTCATCTGTGTCTAGCATTGAAGCTCTTGAAACTTTCCCCTTGAACTACTGTGTGTTAAAAGAAAAATTTCAGGAAATAGCTTTTCCAGCTGAATCTCCCCTCGCCTGTTAAATCTGGACACTAAAAATAAGAAAAATCCTATTTCTAGAAAACAAAGAGGCTCAGAAGAGCAGCTGATTGTCTGCCACGAACAACAACACTGCCTACATCATAATCCACTGTCTGCTTTGTTTTTAGGATACATTTTGGGCAGATCACAAGCAACCATATGCTGGTGAGCGTGATAGAGAATTTGAAGAAAACCACCATCTCCAGAGTGAGTGAGGCCCGGGTGAGTGTCACAGACTCCTTTTTCAGTTTTTTGAGTAACAGGATGTGCCAATGGATGGGGTCGTGAATTGTCCAGGGCGCCCACTGGAAAAGATGATAGGGGTCTGAGCCCATCTCACTTTCTTCCTTTACAAATAAACTTTTTTTTCATCCTGTTTTCCTGCTATGATGAACCACTTATCCTGTTATCTCTCGCCCCCCCCCATCCTGCCCCCCCACCCCATTTTTGGTTTTCCAGACAGAAATGTGGGGAACAGAGGCAGTATTCTGGGTTCTGGTTGTTCCCCTGTTCAGACAGAGCTTGCATTTAAATAATGCTGCATTATTTAAGCCTGTGGGGCTGTCTTGATTTCATAGTCTCTCAGCAGAGGGTGGACACAGTGTCTGCTAGTCCAGGCAGCAGCATCCTCTGCCTCCTAACAAGCTTGAGACAGGTCAAAGAGTGTGGTGGTGGTTTCTCTCTACAGGATGTGTTGGGATTCAACATGGCAGGTCTCCAGTACCTGAAGAGAGAGATTGAGGCCAAGGATGAGGTGACATTTTTTGCTGATGCTACTGACCGTTTTGAGGAGAAGAGGAGGAAGAGGAAGAAGATGGTTCTTGCAGTGATCTAGTATTTTCTGCCCACAACCCACAGCACTGAGATAGGTTCATGTAGCCTCTGCGCTGGCTGTGGAACTGCTTTTGTGGCTGACTGTCTGTGATGATGCTCAGTGATTGGGTTGAAGGTCTGTCTCCTCCCCTTGTTGAATAACTCACCTTTCACTGTGCGGGACGATGCCAACCAGGAATGAATGTCTCTAGTGAGATGAACTCTCTATGGTCTGTTGCATATGCATATATTTGAGCTATTTCTGGGGTGGCTGCCATGTTTCGATATGCTTTATGAACATATTGAGTACAGCATTTTATCTTGATATTTCTCTCTAGTAAAACCTCAACTGCCTGGCCGTGTTTGTCAGTTCTCATAGGCTTTTTTTTCCAGGAAGTAAAAGCTGTGGGAACAAATTAAAGGGTTGCAGTCAAAGATTGTGATGTCTTGTACAGCTGGCAGACTGAATGCTTGGGAAGCATTTGCACTATATTCAATCCAGTTCACTAGAAATTTTACAGTATTGGTGCAATGTTGTTGTATTTGTCCCATGTCAGGTAAAGGTTTATCCTCATGGGCTGGCGGGGAGAGACTGATGAAAGTGAAGAAGTCTCTGCTGCATGTTTGTTTGTAGCATGTGTTTTTCTTAACAGTTATCATAAGGTTTGTGAATACGGTAGAGGCTGCTTCCATGTACTTTGGAAAAAGCAGTTACATACTGGACTTACGGGTCTGACTCAGATACTCGAAGCTGGGTTTTTCCAGCTTGAGCTTAAACGTTTTTTTTTTTTAGCATCTCAGTTATTGACTCTCCTGTCTACCTTATGTTTTCTACAGTTAACAATTATACACAAGGTAAGCAGTTCTGTTAACAGTTCTTTTTCTGCCAATCTTTTGATGGGTCCTCAGGTTGAATAACTATATCTCTTAGAAAATAATTTGGGGGGAGTAATGGCTCACTTGTTCCTTTCCTGACTAATTTGAATCAGCACTTCATGCTCCAGTTTCAGGAGATGGGAATCAGACTTTTTTTTTACAAATCATAGAATCATAGAATGCCTAAGGTTGGAAGGGACCTCTAGGGGTCATTTAGTCCAACCCCTCTGCACACACAGAGTCACCTAGAGCACATGGCACAGGACTGTGTCCAAGCGGGTTTTGAAGATCTCCAGAGAAGGAGACTCCGCAACCTCTCTGGGCAGTCTGTTCCAGTGCTCTGTCACCCTCACTGTTAAAGAATTTTTCCTTAAGTTCCTGTGGAATTTTTGGTGCTTCAGTTTGTAGCCATTACCTCTAGTTCTGTCGGTGGCCACCAGGGAAAAGAGGCCAGCACCATCCTCTTCACTCCCTCCCTTGAGGTACTTACTTACATTGATTAGATCCCCTCTCAGCCTTCTCTTCTCCAGGCAAATAGCCAGGTATAGTGGCTGTAATAGCCAGGTATAGGTATAGTATGTTTGCTTAGTTGTGGATGAGATTTCAGATCAAGCAGTTCAATTTAAACATGTCTTCATCGTGACAGTTATGAAACTATTCATTTGCTCTTTCCAAAGGAGATAGTCGTAAGAGAAGTCACTGTGGTGTGATGGAGAGGATGCATTGTGCAGTAGTAGGATGATGGAACTGTTGGTAACTGCAGTTGGCATCTTGTCTCTGTGACAGCTTCTGCTGAAATGGGCCAGACAGTTAGTAAAACAAGCGTGAAGAGTGTAACAACTGCAAGGATGGTTTGTGACACCAAGTGCACCTTTTGCGGTGATGACCAAGTAGAGGGATACCACAGCCAGATACCCAAAGGGAAACACTGACTGTATGCCTCCCTGTGATGTGCTCTGTTTCTTTGCATTGATGCCAGAGGAGAGAGACTCTGGAGTTTAGGTAAGGAGCTGCTGTTTGATCATCTGGAAACCATGGGAGAAAAGCTATGGCCATAGGTACACTTGAACTCAGGAACTAATGACAAGGAACTATGGAACTATGACAACAGGAAGGAACTATGGAAGGAAGGAAGGAACTATGACAACAATGTCATAGATTTTGACACAGAATAGTGATCTAGGACGTAGTCATCGCGTGATGACAGGTTCTTTCCTCTGATCTGTGGCACTGGAGGAGATGGAATTCCTTCGCCAGCTTCTTGGTTTGCTGTCACTGGAATTCTGGAAGAATCCTTGGAAGAAGTCTTTGGAGGGTGATTGTCCCTGCTATAGGTACTGACAAGGGCTTCCCTCCTGAACTTTCCCTCTCATTCTCTGATTTGTATCACATGTGACCTACCAGCAACTGTGATGCACTGAGGGGGCTGATGTAAAACTACTGACTACATCTGCAGAAAGCAGTGAAAAGCATTAGGGTAGGAATCAGCACAGTTAGTAGCAAGCATATCAAGTTTGGCACTGCTTCCTGTGGTTTCTTCCAGAAGGTGAGTAAAGTTGAAATCATGTTTGCAGTTTTGTATCAGTTACAGCATTTTCCTTAGCTGGCCTTCAAATTTGGACAAAACTTCTAACTCAGAGGAAAAGCTGAGGGATGATACAGCGAACCTCTGGCAGTGCAGTGCCAGGCACCGGTGCAGTGTCAAACACTCCAGAGAAGAGTCTAGGAGTCCTGGTGGACAACAAGTTGACCATAAGACAGCTATGTGCTCTTGTGACCAAGAAGAACAATGGGAAAGAAGAGTGTTGCCAGCAGGTCAAGGGAGGTGATCCTGTCCCCTCTCCTCAGCCCTCAGGAGGCTGCATCTCAAGTACTGGGTCCAGTTCTGGGCTCCCCGGTATAAGAGGGGCATGGATCTACTGCAGTGAGTCTAGCATAACGCTACAAAGATGATTAGGGGACTGGAGGAAAGGCTGGTGCTGAGCCAGTTTAACCTTGAGAAGGGAAGGCTGAGTAGTGATCTTGAGGGCCAAGATGATGGAGACAGGATATTTTCAGTGGTGGCCAGCAAAAGATTAGACAACAGGCACAAGAAAATCTGCCTGAATGTGAGGAAAAGCTTCTTTACTTTGAGGGTGACAGAGCACTGGAACAGGTTGTGCAGAGGATGCAGAATCTCCTTCTCTGGAGATACTCACAACCCATCTGGATGTGATCCTGTGCAATGTTCGGAGGTCCCTCCCAACCTCAGTGATTTTGTGAAGAGGATAAAAATTGAATTCCTCCATGTCATTAGTATCACTGGTGCCAGTATATTCACCTAAGGTTCCCCTGCATCCAGTGCAATATTGTGTACTCACAGCCCCCATCTGGTGTCCGCAGGTAATTAAAGGTAGGTGAACGGCCTGTGCATGGAAAGTTAGAACAGTGATGGTGAAAGCAAACAGGAACCTAAAAACTCAAAGGCTAGAGCAGCTCAGTAATACTTGCTACAGATTCTCTAAGAGTCACAGCTGACTCCAGTGAAAATTGCCACATGTTCGGTACTGATGAAAGGTGTTCAGTACCTCACCATTGGCTATATTTATCTAACTCTCATTTAAAAATGATGCTAACCTATCTGGTGTCATTCAGCACTCTTCTAGAAAAGTGCGGGGTTATCAAACATTAGGCTTGTAACAGTATGTCCACTGTCATGTTTCAGGCAGCCATGTCTGAAGTCAGAATGTAGCACAACTTCTGGATCATCTTTCCTATTAATAGGAGACAGAAAAATATTTATTCATGATATTTTGACTAAGTAGAAAAGACCATACCAGGATGTCTTCATAAAAACATTCAACTAAAATTCCAGTATTTCAGTATTGATGATATTCACGTCATTCTTTCTAGTTAATCTGGAACTTTGCCTTGGGGCTTGTAGAAATCAGCTGGGCTGTTTCTGACATCCCACCCTGGGGGTATCCTTGTGGGCGGTGCTCATAAATGTCATTGGTTAACACAAGTAGAATATTAGGTTAAGGATCTAACCATTTCTGTTCATTTGTGTAACTAAAATATCTGTGGAAACTGGAATGAATTCTGGAAATTAGACTGTGAAAAGATTTGAATCTCAACTTCTGACCTCAGTTCAAAGAATACAGGCCAAGTAAAACATTAACGAAAGGGAAGATACGTATGTTTTGAGGCTGAGTCTGCAAGTGTGTGATGGAAGACTGGAAGAGTGGGAATGAAGCAGGGACTGTTTTTGTTGCTATGGCACTAGTTCTTGTATTGGCTAGCTTAGCAAAGAGCATCAGCAAAGACTATTTTGCAGCATAAATTAGGAGAGTTTCAGTGTAGCTTCCAGAGCATGTAGAGCCCCAATGCAGTTGCAGTTAACAATCCCTTTGGTCAGTCTTAACTGATACTGAATCCCTTCTTTGGTTAAGCGTGGATCTTAACAAAAGCAAGAGTTTCTGGCATGGCAATGTGTATGGGGGCACCTTGCCTTATGACTTACAGGTTTTAAGAAGACCTTTTCCCTAGGCTTTAATTAGAAAATTTGCTTAAAGGACAAATAGATCATCACCTTCTACATCTCCTCTAAACTCGCCCTTAAGAAATAAGCCTTTAGCTATATCTGAAAAACAGTAATTACAACTGCTGGAGTGCAAGGGAAAGTGAAATAAATTTGGTTTTCTTTTCTTTTACTGTACCTGTCCTGAATTAAAAGCTAATTTCTACTGAAACAGACTGCAGAAACAGGGATAGTATCATCTTTCTTTTTGTATCCACAATGATATGATTTTTGTTTCTGATGAGGTAGCCCTATCATGTGCTAGGTTAAAAATCTGCAAATAAAAAAAAATCCTTTAAAGAATTTCTGTCTGTTGGGAGAAATTCTTTTTTCTTTTCTTTCTTTTTTTTTTTTCCTTTATATATTTCCTAAAAGCCATATCCTTCTGGGCTTTCAATCCCTTGTTTTCAATACCTTGTCACTCTGATCTAAATTGCTTTTGGGATCAGAGTTATAAGTTCTCCATTGTTGTGTTCTGTGTTTCCAAAAAGGACAGTAAATCTTGCCTGCATGAGAAATCATGCTTACAACTCCTTAAGGTAGACAGTTCCTAGGACTGATGATATTGGAGGAATAGTGGGGGAGAATTTAAAGGATATTTGCCCTCACAGGAAGTAGAAGAGTCTCTGCTTCTGTTAATATTTCAATATGATGGGAAATTTCTTCAAGGCCATCAGTATCTTCCCTTCCATTTACCATTGCAAAAATCTCTATATCCAGTTTAACCTGCAAACCTGCTGCCACCTAGGAGAGATGCAGAATAGTTCATAAATAAGATGCATGTTTCAAACCCTTCAGCACTGTTCTCAGCTGGTTCTTGTTCTGTCTGGTCTGATGAAAGAAAAGACTTAGTATCCTGCACACATTACTGCTCTTGCCAGTTACTCACTGACTGTGTCACTAGCAAGGTCTGTACTAAACCTTTATTTTTTTTCACATTGAAGTTTGCATGCAAACTGCCAGATATTTTCTGCTCCTTCTCATTATTGCCATTTGACTGTCTTAGGATCCAGAAGGAAGTGGAAAATTGAGAAAGCTGAAGACGATCAAAAAAAGAACAAAGATGTAGGAAGAAAATGGAGATAAAAAGGGATGTATGTGTGGAAAGGAACAGAGAAGTGCAAGTGTTGGGTTGTGGCTGGGGCTCGGGGTGAGGAGGTTTAACTTGTATTTTGGTGGCTCTCCTTGCAGAAGTCATTGCTTCTTGAATCCATGCCTGTAAAACTGTGGGCAAAGATTGCTTCTGATCTTATCTGGGTGCTCTGGGAATACCAGCCAGCATAAAAGGGAGGTGAAAAGCAAAATGACATACTGAAAAAAGGCAGAACGCATCATAGCTTCATACTTAATGGGATAATTTCATGTGCTATGGGGCTTGTGCTAAATAAAGACAGTGGAGCAAGCAAGAAGGTACACAGCAAAAGAAATGAGAGGGGAATGTTTACTAGGTTCAGCTCTTAGAGGTCTCTAAATAGAAAGAAAGTCCAGGCATGACACATAGAGGAGATACAGGATACCTAAACACTGGGAAAAATCAGAACTGGTGGCAGAGTATTCTGTTTGCATCAAAAAAGCTCTCCTTAGCCTCAGGGCTTGACCTGCTACCTTCCATGGAGCTAAAGATTGTTCATGACTCTGTCCTCTGGGGTAAGAGCCCATGACACAGTGTGCTTGACAGAAGAAAGCAGAAGGATGGCAGAAAGCAGTGTGGCTTCAAATGAGCTTTAAACAGCTCATGTACCCTGGCCAGCTATAGTCCTAAACAGCTGGTGAGGGAGCATCTATGGATGGCCTGTATGACATAGGCTGTATGACTAGCATAATGGAAAGAATCTTCTGTATAACTTACAGGTCCTGGTCGGTATATCACTCTCAGTCCTGTGTGTGGAGGTGGTGGTTTCACCCAAAATCTGTCGGAAAGAAAAGATTATCAGTTTGCCAGGAACCACCCCAGGCAGGCAGGTGAAACGGCTGGGAAGTCCTGTGCCTTCATGTGTAAACAACAGCAGAGTTTTTTAAGCTTACACTTTCTATAATAATGTACACTTGGTTATCGCAGTATTCCTTGGCTTCTAGCCAAGACACCATTCAAGAAGTTTTGAACAAAAACAGCAAAGCACTATATTAATGGGTCGAAGTTTCCAAACAGTTCGTTAAGCGGCTGAGTTCTTAGAACAGAATTTGAAACACCTACATTTTAAGCCTATATACACAAAGGAAACTGAAGTATAAATTCAAGTTTTCTGGCAAAGTCTTGTGTGTGTGTATAGCCAGAAGTCCTTAATGGTCTGTTTAATGTGCTGTGATAGTATTCTTCTGCAGAAGGCAAGATACCAGTATACATTTCTTGTAAACATATCTCTCTTGTTTAACTACCCACTAAGGTAATGCTTTCACTTCTTCATGCCTATTTCATGGGTACGCATCTGTGCATTCCTTTTCTAGTCTGCATGCTACTACACTGCTGAAGATCACTTTGATGGGACATCACCTCCCTGCTTAAACACCAGCTTGCAAATAGGTTTGTTCTGTGGAAAACAAATCACTATTAAGATCTCTCTCCTTTTGCATGGTTCTAGACTTTACTGGGAGATTTTTATTCCACCTGAAGAACAGCTCCCAACAGGAGCTTATATAAAAAGCTCTTAAAAAAGCGAGTGAGAAGAGGTATTTTCAGTATATGGCTCAGTGCTATGGAAAGTTCTGGCAGAATTACAGAGTTTCTGTAGTCAGAGTTTCTGTAGTTTCTGTGGAATGCCAACTGTTATGAGAAACTAACCAACTTCTTGTGACACCTTAGCAAAAATTAAGGTTATCCTGTGAACAGTTGGGAAGACACTTAACTGTTAACTCAGCATAAAGCAGACGTATCTCAGTACTGCCCCCCTTTTGTCCTCCACCCTGACATCAGCCCATTCTGCTGTCACTCACACATTAGGCATATAGATCTTGTCTCAAACCATCTGGTAAAAGACCTCAAAGGATAAGATGGATTTCTTAGAATGACAGAAGGCATCACAGGACGATTAGACTACCAAGAGCCTCTGTGATGCTTCTTATTTGTTGAGAGAGTATAGGGGTGGTATATTCCCCATGCTGTCTACATATCAGGCTCTGGCATAAATCTAAAGAATGTGTAATGCATGTAGCTTGAGCTCCAGCATATTGATATGTGAGCTGCTAGCCTAAAACTTCACAGTAATACTGAAATGTGTATTAAAAAGGAACTCCCTCAAAGTTGGCCCTAAAAAAGAAAACAAAAAATCTCTGCTCTTAATCCTCATGGATGGAGTTGTGCAATATTCTCTCAGATGGTCCTGAATTGGATGAGTGCTATAATGATTCCAACTGTGATTCCTGTCAGTTCCTCTTTTGATAACTACTTATTCAAGGAGGAATAGAAACAAATATAAAACTTAGATGTTTTATATTTTTTTTTTCATTCCAAAACTGAGGTACCATGTAAAATGAATGCTATGACTGCATGGTAGAGTTACTATGACGTTTCTCTTGACTCTCCTTTTGAAGAGGTCATCATGAACTGCAAGTTACCTGCATCCAGAAGAAGAAAGCTTGGGAGGTGCCTGCTTATGTGATGAGTGCTCTACAGAACATGCACCACCTAGAAACTGCAGCACCTCAGGGCCATGAGCCTTACGTACACCAGGCATAAGAATCACAGAATGCTGGCTGAGATTAGAAAGGACCTCTGAACATCGTCTAGTCCAAACCTCTGATCAAGCAGGGTCACCTATTGTACATTGCAGACGATCATGTCCAGGTACTGTAATCCAGGTATCCAGGATCATGTCCATGTGTCAACAGGGTCAAATAGCTGGCTTGTGGTCAATTTGTCCACTAGGACTCTTAAGCCCCTCTCTGCAGAACAGTTTACCAGCAGGTCAGCTACCAATCTGTACTGGTGTATAGGATTATTCCTCCCTACATGTAGAATTCTCTCCTTGTCTTTGCTGAACTTCATGAAGTTCCTCTCTGCCTACCTCTCCAGCCCCCTAGGGTATCAACCACTCCTTCCAGTTTTATATGACCAGCAAACTTGCTTACATGAATGCTGTCCCTTCATCCAGGTCATTGATGAATATGTTGAACCACAATTGACCCAGTACCTACCTACAGAGACACCACTAGCTCCAGGACTCCAAAGAGACTTTTCATGGCTGATGACAACTCTCTGAGCTTTGCCATTCAGCCAGTTCTCAATCCACCTCACTGTCTGTATAGGAGACAGTGTCAAAGGCCTTGCTGAAGTCAAGGTTGACAACATCCGCTGCTCTCTCCTCATCTACCCAGCCAGTCATTTAGTCATAGATGAATATCAGATTGGTTAAGCATGATTTCCCCTTGGTGCATCCATGCTGACAACTTCTGATCACGTTCTTTTCATCCACATGCTGAGAAATGACATGCAGGATGAGCTGCTTCATCACCTTTCCAGGGACAGAGGTAAGTCTGACTGCTGTGTACTTTCCTGGGTCCTCCTCTTTGCATTTTTTTGAACACTGGTGTGACATTTGCTTTCTTTCAGTCCCCCAGGCACCCCTTCTATTCTCAATGACCTTTCGAAGATGATGACCTAGCAATAACATCTACTAGCTCCCTCAGCATTTATGGGCATATTCCATTGGGGCCCATGGATTTGTGGCTGTCAAATTTGCCTAAATGAGCTTTTACCCAATCCTTGTCAAGCAAGGGAAAGTGTTCCTTTCTCCAGACTTTCTCTATCTTCAGGGTTTGGGATTCCTGAGGGCTGGCCTTAACAGTAAAGACTGGGCACTCACACCATTCAGGACAAATGGCTGAAATAGATAGTTTATTTAGCAATTAACTGAAAAAGTAGCTGTTTAGACCTAAAAATCTTTCCAGTTGCAGGTGGTAATTGAGGCTAAGTGGGACAAAGAGGCTGATGTTGGAAAATTTCTTGCTTGGAACTCAAGAATTTTGAAAGAATGTGTTTTTTTCTTTTCAACTTTTGACCCTTTCCCAAGTAATAAAAATGTCAGCTGCAGCCATCTCAAATGAAACTTGCCACCAAGCATTGCAGTTCTTGAAACCAGACTGCAGCTATTCAGATGAAGCCATTTTGAAGTGACAAACTTTAGGTAAAAGCCCCCAGACTGTAAGAACTTAAAGAACTGTTGCAGGCTCTCCTGTAAGCTAAAAGCCAAAATACGCATATAAAAGATAAATGCTGTGTAAAAAATGAACAGGAGGAAAATGCTTTGCGCTCTTTATTATTACATGTATGGTGTGTAGGAAGACAAGTGTCACAAGCACACCTGCCTGTTAAGTGCTGAATTTAGTAAAAATAGAGACAATGCTTGTGCAGGAGTATCTAGTGAATGAACATATATGCAGTCATGTTTGAATGACTGCAGGGAACTTTGGCACAGAAAAAAGAGTAGACATAAGCATCTTTTATTGTGTTTGCATGATCCCTAAATTCCAGCTCCAGTCAAGTAATTCAAGGACAACTTTCTGGACTGCAGAGCTAAAATGGCCCTGTCCTCACTACACCAGAATGCAGTGCAGAGCTATCATCCCCTGATAGGGTGTGGATATAAGTGGAATGTATTTATAAGTAAATGCTTTGTTTCAGGTATTTAATCTTCTACCTGCTCCCAGTGTCATCACTGAAACTGTTTTTCAATGCAGCCAAAGTTATATGGCTGTCTGACTGCAGTTGTTTCAGTTTGGATCATCAGACTTGCGGCACTCAGCAGCATTCCCCAAAGCCAACAGTAGTAGCAGTTACATGAAAGAGTTTAGTCCCTGAAAATGAGAACTTCAATAAAAAACCTACTATAGGCCAGGACTATAAAACCTACTGTTCTTTACTGCTTTCCGTCTTCCTTACACTAGTAATACACAAAATTAATAATATTAATATTAAAAAAATGCTAAATATTTCTAACATTATCGTCTCTGAATCTAGTCCTATCATCATCAAATGAATCCAAACATAAAAATCTCTACTAATCAGATCAGATTGCAATAATTTACAAACAATGCATCTTCGGACAGTCAAAAACAAATTCCTGAGTATCTGAACCAACCTGGAGAAGTTCACTCCAACATTCTTCAGGATCACAGTGGCACTGTAGGTGCAGCCTTCCTTCAGTACACCAAATATCACATTAGGCGGAATGACATGGAATGAACTAAGCTGCTGTTTCTTTGTTGCAAGGGAAGATGTCTTGACTTGTGCCCCAACAGGGTCATCCACCTTTGCAAATAAAATTAGACAATAAAGTTGGTGGCTTTAGTCAGGTTCTGAATAAGCAGTACCCAGATAATGCTTGTTACATTTCTTATATTTGACTCTACTAGTCCTGAAGCTATCACAAAAAGGCACACAAAATTGAGTAAAAAAATGAAGAGGGCAAAGCTAACTACATTTGGTATTAGAATCATAGTATCGTTAAGGTTGGAAGGGACCTCTAGAGATCATCTAGTCCAACCCCCCCTGCACATGCAGGGTCATCTAGAGCACGTGGCACAGAACTGCGTCCAAGTGGTTTTTGAAGATCTCCAGAGAAGGAGATTCCACAACCTCTGTGGGCAGCCTGTTCCTTACTGTCAATAATTTTTTCCTTAAGTTCCTGTGGAACTTTTGGTGCTTCAGTTTGTGGCCATTACCTCTAGTTCTGTCAATGGCCACCAGTGAAAAGAGGCCAGCACCATCCTCTATATACTCTGATCAGGTCCCCTCTCAGCCTCTTCTTCTCCAGGCTGAACAGACCCAGCTCTCTCAATCTCTCCTCACAGGGCAGATATTCCAGGCCCCTGATCATCCTTGTAGCCCTATGCTGGACTCTCTCCAGCTCCACATCCGTCTTGTGGTCAACTTGTCATCCACCATGACACCCAAGTCCTCTGCAGAGCTGCTCTCCAGGAGGTCAGTCCCCAGCCTGTACTGGTGTCTGGGGTTATTCCTCCCCAGGTGCAGGACCTTGCACTTGGCCTTGTTGAATTTCATGAGGTTTCTCACTGCCCAGTTGTCCAGTCTGTCCAGGTCCCTTTGGATGGCAGCGCAGCCCTCTGGGGTATCAGCTACTCCTCCCAGTTTTGTATCATCAGCAAACTTGCTAAGGGAGCACCCTGTGCCTTCATTCAGGTCATCGATGAATAAATTGAACAGGACTGGACTGAGGACCATATATACTAGTTTGAGATTCTGGACATACAGAGCCATTCAGGTGTCTCAGGGGGAACTGAGGATGTGCTCTCTTTTGAAAGTCAGGGCTGTCATGTGGGTACCCAGTATAGAGCTCTGCTTTCAGCATACAACAGTCAATCTTTTGCCAGTGCTAAAATCTGTCATTGCTAAAAATAAATTGCTAGTGCTATTGTTCACTAAACAGATACAAAAATGCTTTACAGTGTTGATGGAGAGTGAAGGGGTGTCCAGCATCTCTGCAAAGGAGATGACCAAGAAGATACTAACTAAAAACCTGTTATTTTACTTGTTTATTTGGTATGGAGTCAGCCTTCCTCCCCTGGAGAAATGGTTGTAATTTCACTTTCTCTTTTCTTGGCTGCCTTGCAGCATTCACCAGCAGACTTTGAATTTTAGATTGAAAGGGTGTCTCATGTGATTTTTCTTTGCTCAGATAGGTTGTTGCTGCAAAAAAAAGACAAGATTTCCAACAGCATAAAAAAAACCCCACCAAGTATCAAAGCCCAATCCTGCAGTTCTTCAAATAAAACTTTCATTTACCTTAAGAGTTTGATTAGCATTTCAGTAGCAGGCTAGGTCTCATTTTTTTTTTAATGTAATAAAACAATTTAGGGGAAAGATGGCCACTTTTAGATAGCTCTAACTAACAAATAATCAGAATTGAAACAATAAGTACAAATGTACTATAATTAGTAAAATTATTGAAGACATCACAGTGAAAACCAACAAGGAAGGTATAAAATCCTATGAAAGTGTTTAAAACCATGGAGAGGAAGTACAAAAACGCCAAGCATTAAAATCAAAACCAGGAACTATTCCAAAGTCACGGCTACATTGCACAGTGATCAGATATGCAGAAAAGGCCAAGTTGGTCAAAACAAATTTATGCATCCATAAAATCCATAATCCATAAAATAACAAATTCTTGCCCCAGAGCAGAACAGCTGTGGCAGTACAAGGTCATAATCAATCCACAGACCCTGTTGCTGAGCGGGATTAACTGGCTTGAAAGCAACAACATGTGGATGACTTTGCATGCCTTTGATTCTGGAACTAGAACAGGCATGTCATCTCTGATCTGTGTCCCACTGTATAATGTAACTAGACTGAGCTCTGGATTACCAGAGCAGTTAGCTACTACACAATTTAACTGCTGTTTGAAAAGTGGATCTAAACTTTTTTTGCTTGACAACTTGACAAATATAGCTTTCTGTAAATGCTGTAAAGTGTGATAACCTTTGTAGGGTAAACACAACAGTGGTGACTACATTTTCATCAAGATCAATATTTTGGATCAATATCTGGATCAATATTTTGTACTGAGGAGAATTGATTTTTTTTCAGTTTGGATGGTGAGAAGTCAAGTGCAGATACTGTCTAGCTGCCAATACGTATCTGGTCAGTTAGTCATTTCGAGGAGGCAGAAATATAATTGGAGAGTAGATTCTTCTCTAGATTCCTTCTCTCAAAAAGTTCTTATTTCCAAACAACAGAACTGTGGGTTGTAGAGGGAGAGGAGACTCCCATTTGACGATAAATGGCCGAGGGCTTATAAAAATGCTAAGCACAGATGTAGTGGGGAAAGCATACTAATGTTTGCTGTTTTGTCTAAAGGTAACCAATCTTTATGCTTTGTAGAAGCTTGTGTAGTTTTAGAATATCACAAATACAGACACAAAAATGTTTTTCATTTTTCATTAGTGTGTCTGCTCTGCGGTCTAACAAGTGAGTATGCATAAATAGCAGGGGAAGCTTAGTAGCTTTTAATACAACTGCTATTGCAAAGACCTCCTACTAAGAAAGAATGCTAGTGGGTGGTGGGAGGGAAAGGAAACAAAGAGGGAAAACTCTTCAGGTTAGACGGTGAGATGCAGATACAGTTTTTTTTTTTTTTTTCTTGTGTGCACTACTAAGACTCAGCTGGTGTGGCATATATGTGAGAGTCAAAGGTCTAATTAAAGCAGACTAGTGACTGCTTTAAAAAACAAAAAGTAGAGAGAACAGTAATAGATGCAGCCAGGAAAGCAAAACTTAATTGAGATGTTAAATGGCGAAGACCATTTCAATGTGTATCCAGTTGTACAGTCCTCACGTTGCTCTAACAGTCTGCTAGTGTGAGACGAGAATCCCTCCTACTATTTTTATAGTAGACTGCTCTCTCCCTTTCTGCCAATCTTGCCCTACATGTATTCAGAATGCTGAACAGAATAACTGGCTTTAAATTTCTTGTAGATATTTTGAAATACCTCATAGCTTTAAGAAACTAGAAAATAACTTGTTCCAAAGTACATTCTGGACGGTAGATTTACCTGTTGGTGAGTGTATGCTGGGACCTTCAGGTTCATGTGAGTGAATCTGTAGCAGAAAACCAGGTGAAAGTGAGGAATCACTTGTAGTATTGAGATAATCAGATCCTAAAGGAAAAACAACAATATACATCAACAAGTGTCATGATCATCATTGCTGTCATAAAAGTATTAAAAAAATAGCAGAGTATTTGGCACTTCATTTTAGACAACCTTTGTTGTCCAAGTTCAATTATTTTGCTTCCCTGGGCAACAGGGCTCAAAAATGCATTTTGTGATCATTCCTATCTTCTTTGGTGAACTGAGAAGTATGTCTAAAAAGTCTAAAAGACAATCCAACATAGGCCTTCTGATAACAGCAAAATGAGAAAACATGGGAATAAGCAGTATCTGATAGAATCTTATGGAAGACTGCTTTCCTAATATGATTCTGTGCTGTGTATGTCAGGATACTTTTAATCTCACAATGTCATTTCAGTGACTTGTCAGGGATGTTTTTCAAATAGAACCGAAGCATTCCTCTGAGTGCTTCCAAGCTCAAAGCTCAGATGGTTCACACTTTCTCTGCTTACCATTTATTCACTCCCTGCTTTCTTTTTCTTCAGTCTTCCTTCTTGTATCCTACAAACTGTCCTCGCCTTGCATGTTTCCTATTCTATTTCCCTTCTACCACATTCCCCAAACTGCTTCCTTAACATTTTATTTCATTTTTTTCCAACTCCGAGCTGTTCCCTATACTGATATTGCTCTTTTTTCAAATGTGATCTCCTCATCAACCCCAGGCAATGTAGTGGAGAATATTTGCATCCATTTACCTCCTCATTCACAACCTAATTCTTTGGCTTTGTATCCAAAACCTATTCTTCTTACTCATTCAGTTAAATATACAAAGACTCCTTCAACACACTGAACACAGAGGTCTCAGTTATATTAGAGAATTAGACAGGAACATTCTCAGGTACGGAAACATAATTTATACTGTTAAACTGTTGGAAAACTGGCATGATACTGACCTGCGCCAACTATCAGCCTCCTCACAAGACACCATGAGGCACAAGAGCTGGGCTATGGATAAGGCTTCCCTGTGTTCAGAAACTGCATTTACCAACACAGGTAAATGCGTTGGTAGGCACAGCCTACTCCATGCTGCTGGGCATGTTTTACTTATCAGAACAGATGTAGCCAGTGCAATCTAAGAAGCTCATGTGTCAGAATGCCTGGTAATACATAGTGCCAGATAGTTTAATCTTAAATTTTACTACAACAATGAAAAGATACAACTGAAAAAACAATGAATATGATACTGAAATAACCAAACATTAGAGCTCAAATTACCCATTATAGTGTTTCTGATAATCTGTAAAGGCAGATTCCCACTTTCTTTTTTTGGAACTGGAGGAAATTCCTTAGACAGTCCTTCCATATCTGGGAACTAAAGAAAAATAAGAAACAGGGCTTAGGTCTCTCAAGCAGACATACCACTGAAGATGGCACTATGCAAACTAACACACTCCAGAAAGGGTGCAGAGGAAAGAAACAAGCAGAACCAAATTGGTAACAATAAAAAACATAAGGATTCCTCAGATTCTGAAGCGTATTTTTTAGTATGCTTTAGACATTCACAGCATTGATCAGATTGTAAGGCCTGATTACAGGAATGCTCCCAAGGTCAGCTTTAATGCAGAAGGGTTAGCCTTCTGGATTTCCTCTCTAGAAAACAAGAGAGAGGTTTTCCAGATATGGGTCAAAACACTCAAGGTTCAGCTTCTGCTCTGAATCAGACTCTCTCCAGACATTATAAAAGGAATCTAGAGGGTCTGACCTCAGTAAACAAAAGTCCTCTCTGAGATATATGTTCTTTGATAAAGGCATATAATTCCCTGCGTTTATTCAGACACAACTTTCCTCTGTTTCTTGCGATAATAAATTGAGGTTGAAAAGTAAAACCATAACTGGCTGTCTGGAACTATGATAGAAATTATCTGAAATAACACAAACTCATCCAGTTTTGAGCTCCATTACCTTTTCCAGAAGAAATTCCTGGCCAAATTCTGACTCAAAATATGGAGGAATTATTTTGTTTCTTAGTGCCATTAAACACTTCTTTCCTTCATCAATTTCCTTCCTATGAAAATATTGCCATTGTGGGTAAAAAAAGAAAGAAAAACACATTATAACTAAATTTACTCTGTTTTCCAGTACTATTTCTGAAACAACAAGGAATATAGGTGATAAAGGCAAGCTGCATTTTTTTTCTGGCTAATCACATTGAATTATATTCTTGCAATTGTCTCAGTGCTACTTGTTTGCAAAGGCACACACAAGTGAAGACAGAAAGGATCATCTACTAACTCTTAGCTATGAGGTTTGGATATGCTATGAGGATGATTCAACTGCTAGAGCCTTGAAGCGTACCATGAGAAGTATAAAGCCTTGTACTCAAGAAAGAGTTGGGAAAAGGGTAAGACGAAAATAGCAGGCAGATTAAGCAGCAGCTGGCCGGGCATCCTGAGACAGACTCCTCTTCACATGCTGATTTATAGAGGATCTGATCAAAAGGCATATAAATTGTGGAGTGGCTGTTATAAAGAACGCCTCAAAACTTGCTCTGGTTCTCTAGACCTTGTTGAATATGTCTTAGTGCTGACAGTATATTTAAATCTTCCAACAAGCTTCTACATCTGAGAATCACTATCATCTCAGATGCACTGCAACTGCTAACATTTATAATACAAAATGAACCTAAATTCCCCATTTTAATTTGCAGATAAATTTTGTGGCTATCCAGAAGCCTGTCCAAATTCCTGAATGTAAGATTCACCAGAGTGCTCTCATAATCATTGTTTAAACTGGGAAAGACTGGTTATGGTTTGACTTTGATTTAGACCATTTTTATTCAAATATTACAGCTTCATTTTCTTGCAGGACTTAATAAGAGCTCCTCACTCTTTTGATCATAGTGAAAGTTTTGACACCGACCTCAGAGCCAGGATTTCACTCTATATTCTTCGTTGGTGTGTACTCAGATATACATATTTATAGTTATCATTTATGTAATATGCAAAACAATGTAAAATGTTGTTTTAAAGTATAAATCTGAAATTATAAATCTTAAATCTTATAAATTCTTAAATGGTAATGTTTGTGTGAACTGAGCAATTCAGCAGAAAATAAAGCATTCATTCAGAGCCTCTATTGCAGAGAACACCATATTATTTGCAAATGAACCACAAGAACACTATCCAAGTTGTGAAAGTAGTAGCAATCTTCCAGCAGTCATTTCAGATTTCACTGTCTCTTAAAAGAATCAACTTTAACTTTCTATCCTATTAATACAGTACCTGTGTTCTTCTAGTCTAGTCCTCCACTTAGACAGTGTTGTTATATCTGTGCTGAGTGAGCAGTAAAGGAAAAAAGCAAAGAGAGTGAGAGAAGTAATATAATATTCTATAAGACTCCCCCCTCCCTTCTCTCCTTCCCTCCAGTATTTACAGGATAACTCTGGAATGAAAACTACTTATGCAAGTATGTTATATTTTTAATGACTTTTGAATTGTACTCGTATGTTTTGCAGCAAAACTGTTCAGGAACGTCTCTATTTTGATACATTGTTCAAAAACATCAAGAAACAAACAACCCCCACCCAAGGGGGGAAAAAAGAAGAAAACCTCAAAGCCTTTTTCCAGCAAACCTTAAAGTATCTTTGAGATAAGGAGAAGCACAGAGGGATAAAATCACAGGGAAAACTAGTGAAGTGAAATGTATCTAGAGATTCAGGTCCTTCTTAATGACAGACAACAAAGTGCTCTCTGTTGCCTGCTTATTCTGTCTTCTGAATTATTTACATTTACATCTGTTTTCATTGGACTGTCCTACCTGAATGTCTGCCAGTGGTCCTTTGGTTGCTTAGAGATTGTCTTCGCTGTGGAGCACTGGAACTGAGAAGCCACTGTCTTATCATATAACTCGGCTATGCGAACTGTAAGGTAAATGCAGATGATTAATACTGAGTATGCATGTTCAGTTAGGCACTGGTAAGTGTTAAGAATACTAAAAATAGAAGGATATATTCTTAATGCATTTTTCTGTCACTTGATTAAAAAACAGAGCTTAAAATAGTAAAAATACAAATAGTTCTTATTAATTAGATTGATTTTTATTCAAATTAAAATTTCATTGCCAGGGTAGTAATGCTGAACCAATGAAAGACAGAATTGGACTCTTCTCTGGTTGAAGGACAATCAATCCCCTCTGTGAGGAAGGCCAATTGCAGACTCTTCAAGACTGTGAGGTAGGAGGTAGAAAGGACATTGCAGAATCAAATGATGAACATCAACAGGTAGAAAATCAATTCAATAGGGAGAGAAAAAAAAGCCAGAGGCAGATTAAAACATACCCCTATCTCATATTGCCTGAAATATGTTTATGTTCTTCTAAGAAACAAATCCAATTCTTATGAATAGCAAAAATTGCTAATATTCAACCACTTTCTGACAGGGAACAACATTGCAGGCCTCAAGAGCTCTCCAGCTGAAGAAAATAAGGCATGCTTTCAAAGGCCTTTATTACTGTCAGCTTATTTAAGTTGAGCTTACATGTAGCTGTGAAGGAATACTGTATTTGTGTATTTGATCTTTTTTGGTTAACTTTTTCACCAAAAAAACCCTTTTATTTTCCTGCCTTTTTTTTTTTTTTTCATTTTTTGCATCTGTTTAAGAGCTTCTCTTTTACACTGTCTTCTTCATTAATAAAGCTATGCTACATGTCCAATTCCATTTTAATATTTTTGTTAAGTGGGAAACGGTGTTGCATGCATTTTTGCAGCAGTTTCCCTTTACATTGGACAGTACGCTCTGCTCTATATGTACAAACAGAAATACTCCTGGACAAGGAGGAGGAGATGAAAGACAAGGCTTTGAAGGCTAGCAGCACTAGGGGACTGAATAATACAGAGTTTTCTATGGAAAAATATTTTAAAGAAAAAAAATCTTAATTTTTATTTGTACTTACTGAAAATATTAATAGATGCTAGGGAGTATCACATTTTTAACTTTTATAGAAAGCCACGAGGGAAGATTACTCTGTTATTTTATATTTTTCCTGAAGTAAGAAAATTCTAAAATATTTAATGATTTGAAACCTGATTTCAAATGTGATAAACAACAGGGAGCTATCCAGTTATTTCGAAAAACTTGCCTGACGTGTTAATATATGTATAAATATAACTACATAGAGCTGTGTCCATAGTTGTCATACCAGGGAATGGGGGTCAAAATGACAAATACGTATGCCTAAAATTGGCAATTAAGTGGTTTTTAGAGGTACTATATCACTGAAGATAACAATTTCTAATCACCTATGAAAATCATGCTATTCATTCACGTTCAGTCCCCAGTGTGACCATTTTTGAATACGTATTTTCTGAAGATATGTGGTATTTACCAGTCAAGGTCTTTGATGAAATATTGAAATATTTAATTAGTTAAGTGACCTCTCTCTTCTCTTGAGTTGGTTGGCAGTTTTTAATTTACAACATTTTATAGAATGAATGTATCACATGTGTAAGAAAAGTACCAGGATCAGAAGACACAGTCATGTACCTAGCACAGATCAACTTCTTATGTTCCTCTTTTAAAAAGATTACTTCAGTGCTTTACAATCTGCTATGTAGTATAGTATTTTACACTTTTAAAAGACAGTCAATCAATTGCTATTACCTCTGGTGCTGAGATCTTTGGATAACTTCTCCAAGTTAGGGAAGGACTGCAATGAAGAAACAATCATCAGGACTATGTGAGAAATAGACCTTGCAAAAGCGGCCTCTTCAAAAGCCTTCTGGCCTAAACATGCGCTCTTTCGTTACTTGAAAGTGAAACCACAAGAGTAGGGGAACTGATGTATGACAAAACAGGAACTGAGAAAAACAGAAATGAGGTGGAAATTTACCGTCTAAATATATTCACAAGTTGCTTTGTATTTTAAATGTTTGTTGCTTTTTAGATCAGTTCAACTATTTCAAAATCTCAGACAGAAGATTTTGAAGGACAAGTCCTTCCACGAAGGATTTGAACCAAATCCAGAATTCATGGGCTTGACAAGATGGCACATGGGAAATGGGTTCAGGACTATGTAGGTTTCATTACTAAGGAACTCTCTTGTGGTTGCAATACAATGAAGTGTCAGAAGGGTAACAGACTCTTTCACTCATCTCTAATTTCCTTGTTTTATTGTCATGTTGCTGCGAAAGCAGCTAACTGGAAGTCAGAGCCCCTGTAACTAGGACAAATGCGGGTGTAGCAGAGCTAGGCTAGTAGCGTAGTAGAGGCTGCAGTAGAGGGTTGGGAAGACCATGACACCAATTCCTGTGTCATGTAAGATCCACAGCAAGATCTGTGTCATTTAGTCACTAAACAAGTCTATTCAACATGTGAGATTCACCAACTCAGTAGCTCTCATTAAATCAATGAGGTGTCTGCCTGGAGGACAGAGATCAACCAAGTCACTGATAGATGACAGTGTTCCTCTTTCCAGAAATGTGGAGTTCTTTCCTGCTATTTTGCTAGATATTTATTTCCCCCCTCTGAACTCTCTTTTTAATACTTGTATGCAACTTGATAACACTGAGGAAATATCTAAATGAAAGTTTTTAAAATTAAAAAAATGCTTTAGTGTGAGTCAGTGAATGAAAATACTAGCTTGGCTAAAAATTCAAAGACAAATTCTAAAATTACATTTTTTTAAATCTTGAAAGGAAAAACTAATAACGTTAAAGATCTATCCAAGCATCTAGGAAAAGGAAATTAACACCCTTAATGAGTGAAAAGCTCTCATGTTTGGTGAGGTGAATAGGCAGACTCAAAGGTAGGATGACATTCATTTTTGAAAGGCAGATATATTATCTGGCAGTGAATATTTAAATTTAAAGGGGCTTGATATTATTTGAGAAATCCCAGACTTTATAATTAAGTATATTTTAGTTCACTATATGTTTGGTATTTATTTAAAAAGGAATAAAGTATTTTATATATGAGACAAAAAATCTGTGTTTTGTAACTAGTAAAAATCTAGAGTGAATTTACATAAAGACAGACAACCAAATGTAAAGAAAGTTGCAGGAAACAGATGTTTTAAAGAACTGAAGCACAGCAAACTGATCATTCTGCATGCACAGTATGAAGTGTCTGTCATATATACTAATACACCCTAATTTCCACCTACTTCAACTGCCTGAATCTACCTTCTAATCTACTGTTGTTATCCAGTTCCCACCAATCTCACCATTTTCTGACTGTTACCCTGTCCCTCTTCCACTATTTTCCTGTCTTTTCCATTCTTTATTCCCCTCCCTTTGCTTCTCGCTCTCTAATTAGCTCTGTGAATTAGCAGAGCTCGGTTCCCGAAAGTTTAAGCACTGCTCAGCACAGACAGGTGATAACAGTATTTTCACAATACTCCAAAACCAAGTTTAAAGTCTCCTTATCGATGAGGAGGTAGTGGTTCAAAGACAAGTCACCAAGCTGCAGTAGCAACAGATTGGAAATGTTCTTATCTTAATGTTGGTGGACATATGAATTTCAGTCTCTTTAGCCTGTGTGTTTGGGAATTCATTATTCTCAAGAATCAAATCTTTAATTTTTTTTTTGTTATTTTTCTCCAATATGGCAGTAGCACCATTCATTAGACAAGTTAAATGCCAAGCACTGCCGGGCTCTGCATTACCATTATATTATACCAGAGCCGGCATTCTGCTATCCTAACATCTGCTGCTTTATTAATGTGACACTTGCAATACAGTGCAACATATTTGTTGAAAAACAGTTAAGAAATATTTATTCTCACTGTGACCAGTTCATGGAGATCTGCAGCATTCTTCTTTTCCTCTTCTGTTCTTGGTTCTTTTACATTCATGTCTTGCAGCTCATTTTCCTGCTTCAAAATGATGTCTATGTATTCCTGGTGTAGCAATGAATGGAGAAAAAAACAGGAAAGATGCAGATATTTGCAGAGGTAAACTTAATGGACACATACAGAGAAAAAAAAATTTTGGTAGTATTAGATCTGCATACTTTTCAATGTCATAAGGGCCCCTTCTGTGTGAATGGTTTATCTAGGTACACAGAGGTTCTAAGAAATATTTACAAAACAAAACAAAAAAAACACAAAGAAAGAAGTATGTGCTAAGAAAATAGCATGTAAAAATTTGACAAGGACTATTCAGCTCTGAGGACTAGCAATCCTGTTGCATCGTCAGCAACTGATTAACTGCGGAAACCAAACGTCTGCTGAATCTCTACCAGGCCACTGGCACACATCAGCAGGCACACTGAGCTGGGTAACTGAGACCATATCCAAAAGAGTGCTAGTTGCTCTAGAGAGCTTCTGAAGCACCAGTGACCCCTTGCTTCTGAGTGTGCAGTCAGGGCTGGCTTCCCAACAGTTGTACCAATGAGGTAAGTATGTTAAAATGTGTAAGCGTGTGAGTAAACTGTGTGAGTGAATAAAGGAATGTTTTGACTGAAAGCTGTTATTAATTACAACAGCTTGATTCTATTATTAATATATTTGCCTAATAAATAAAAGGTGTTCTAAGAAATACTGGTTGTGAACTGTGTCTCCTTCCCACTTGATCCCCCATTAGAGAAAAGGAAATTTACCACATCGAAGTTGAAAGGTTCAAAGAAAGAGTTTAAAATACCATTTTTAGACAAAGTTTTATTTTGTGAAAGCCACACTGAGTGCTAAAGATAAAAGACTTTCCACACTTCTCTGTACTTCAGAAATTCAGATGGAAAAAAAAGATTTGCATAGGGTGACTAACAGTTCACCCTACTAGAAAAGTATATGCAGTACAGTGTTTTGTGAACACAAGGTTCACATAAATTATCCAGTTCCATTTCTTTTTCATTCCTTCATATTCTTAAATTTTAAGGGAGATGAAGAAAAGCAGAATGCTATTTTCTTTAGATCTTGATTTAATTCTCACAAACTGAGTGCTTATCTTAAAATACAAGATTCCTGTTTATGAAAAAATATATAAAATAGATATTGATATACAACGAATAAGGATATTTTCATTTTAAAGTGATTCTTACAAAATTTCTCTTATGAAGTTGAAGCTGTTCTTCTATTTCAAACAGTCCTTCCTTGAAATGAGATGTGAAAAAAAAAACCTAACCAATTACAAAATGCTGTTTCCTGCTCAAATGTCTCATGCTATTAACTATCAAATATATTAGTCTGTAATGACATAATTAAAATAGACAATAAATAACTAAACTATAGAGCACATATATTTTGTTATTTCCTAACTGTCAGCTAATAATGAGTTCTTAACTCTAAAACCTGTTGTAATCATATTTTCACCGTGTGAACTATATAAATCAGTGTTTCCCACCCCAACCGAGAAGTAAAGGAGGAAGCTGCTAACATAGATCAGCACTCATACATGAGAATGTATGTTCCCATTTTATGAACCAGTCACTACTGAGGCATGGGCACGCACTTTGGCAGAAGGCTACACAGCTATTTGCTAGACATCAACAGCGTGACAGAACTCAAAATTTCATGTTTTATTTTTAGCTGTGCCAGAGCATTGTAAGAAGTTACCATATGTGAAAGGCAATCAGAAGAACACTGTACGTCATAGAATCATAGAATGCTTAAGGTTGGAAGGGACCTCTAGAGATCATCTAGTCCAACCCCCCCTGCACATGCAGGGTCATCTAGAGCACGTGGCACAGAACTGCGTCCAAGTGGTTTTTGAAGATCTCCAGAGAAGGAGATTCCACAACCTCTGTGGGCAGCCTGTTCCTTACTGTCAATAATTTTTTCCTTAAGTTCCTGTGGAACTTTTGGTGCTTCAGTTTGTGGCCATTACCTCTAGTTCTGTCAATGGCCACCAGTGAAAAGAGGCCAGCACCATCCTCTATATACTCTGCCTTGAGGTACTTATAGACACTGATCAGGTCCCCTCTCAGCCTTCTCTTCTCCAGGCTGAACAG